CCTAGTAGCTTCATTAAACATGTAGTTCTTATGCTTAGACTGAGTACTATGTACTTAGAAGATTGCTACTTGAATTGATGGACTATGACTTGTACTTAACTTATTTAATTCATCAACACAAAATGTATATTGGTTTATACAACATAACACAATGCAATATAAGGCATACATGAACATTATGCAGTCAGAATTGACTTAATACATGCATGTTTTTGTATTTGCTACTTGGTTAAGTTAGAATATTGGTTGTAGAAAAAGTTGTTAGAAAATGACAATGAGTTGACTTAGAATTATTGAATGTAAATAAGGAATAGAAAGTGGGTATGGCAGTGCTGATCCCTGTTGTTTTCAGGTTGCAGTGGCAATCATCAGTTTTTGGAGACCATCCTCATCACATACCTTAGCTATAAGGTAAGATATTTCAAATCTAGGGTAATATTTCTACTATGTCTCAGTCTGTATAGCCAATCAATTAATCAATCAAAATATAGGTTAAATCTATATTGTTGATGTTCTGTTCCTACTTATCAATGAATTTATGACTGAAATGCTGCATTCTAAAATCTGTCCAATATGAACTTCAGTAGTTACAAAATGTAGATACGATAGGAAGTAAGACTCATGGTGTATATACTTCAGGCGTTATGCAAGACAAAGGTGTTTTGAGATAAATACAACAAAGACTGTCCCAACATTTTGTATGTAATTCTATTTGGGCTTTTCACCTTCCCAGGGCAGTCTTGTTCAGTCTGTGTTTAACGTCAGGTTCCTGCTAGAGATGATCAACACAGTTCCCTTCATCGTCACAGTAAGTCACTCTTCTCCTAATGTAATTAAAATATTAATTAATATCATAATTAGCATTAAACAACAATAATTAATATAACAAAGAGGCAGTAGCTTGCATGCACTATGTTTCTTTCTCTTTTGTTATGTGAAGACCATTACAATGCCAGCTGTGATTTTTACAATGGATACATAAGTTTTGGAACCTAATAACAGTTTCAGCACGAATTTCATATCATCACTATCATACCATCTTTATTATATCCATCAGTCAAGGAAGCAGTGCATTTGGTACTTTTTATTAGCCATGTATAAGCTGCAAGAACAACTGCAAACGTGATGAACCATAACTGGGAAGTAATTTTCATTGATGTATAGCCCGTGAACCATGTTGCAAAAGTGCACAGATCATTACAGGCAGCAGTCGCAAAGGGATACAGAGGCAGAGTTGTCATTCAAATAAGTCTGTTTTATGAAATTTAAACTCTATTCTTAATACAGCTCAGCTCTTTGAGATTCTGTAGAAAATTTCTTGTACTGTAATGAATTTAATCTATCATAAATATATGTTTCACAAGCTATTTTGGAAGCTAAAGTCTTATATTTAAATACATGTAGTTAATATACATTGGGAGGGTCAGGTTATATCTGACTGACATTTTGTGAAGTCCTCCACATAATATAAAGGAAGACAGGTAGAGGAATATTTTTCAGTCTCCCAATTTCACAGTGAGTGTTACATCAGTAAATTACCATATATTTTGTAAACCAACAGGTGTGTGTATGATAATGGTTATAACAACCATTTGAGTAACAAACGTTTGGCCAATCAATGATAATCTCACTGACACTTCTAGTTCCAAGCAAATCTTTTCAGAACATAAGTTGCTCCTATACATTTGTAATTAAAACCTCCTCTTGTAATCCCAGAAATAACTTGACTTGGCCTCAGTTATTGCCTTTCCCATTTACATTACATGTACATCAGCCAAGCTTATAGCCTGCAGTGGCATTGACCAAGCTCATTTCAGATTATACGACGTAGGATTGAAATTGGATGTGACGCTGACAATCCCCCATTATTGTAATGGCCTATGGGTAAGATGGTTGTAAGATAACTTCTCCTGCTGCAATTTTGTCAGGCTAATCTATCTCACACACAGAACATGAATGAGTGATCAGAAAGCATTTATTGAAGTTGCCTATGGGTAAACATTTTTGTTACATCAGTCGTTATTTGGCTTTTGTTAGTTTTTACTATCTTACTAGGAGAATCCCTATGATACTAAAATCCCCTTCATTTCTATACTTACGTTCATGGTCTATTCCTCAGCTTTTATGAGTTAAATGGGCAGCTGAATCAAGAACAAAATATATTTTACTGGTAGAAATCACATTCAGTGTTTGCATATACATGTACCGGGCAAAGTACAATATGAGAACATAACTGTCATACAAACATTTATAGGAAAGTAGTAAAAAGATAGGAATATTTCAATCTTCAAGATAGTTAAAGTATTAAAAGTCACCCCCAAGCCTCACTCCTATAGAACTTTACTACATGCAGTAAAGTAACATGCACTGAAATTGCCTTGACTCTGCAGCTGCCATTTGAGCGTTGGATTACAGAAAATTATACATATATCACACGCTCACAAAGCGTAGTATCATAGATCTGTATTTTATTTCATCTTCTACTACAGACACTAAGGGAGTGAAAAATGGCCTTCTAGAGGTAATAAGGTATCATAGCTGTAAAGCGATACCCTGAGGACGTTCCACAGTAGCTGGAATGTAATTAAGAACTCTGGTTTGATGTTACAACAGATGGAAATGATGTGGAGGGCTCAAATCTCATCAGACCAGCTTCCAGATGTACCGGTAGCAATCTCCTGCACTGGTGTCTGCAGCGCTTCCAGAATTCTAATTGGAAAAAGTTGAAGTTCAGTAGACTTTGATTTGAGGGGATCAAGTTCTGAGGAGACATGGCTTTGGCTTCTGAAGTAATGTTTCTTGCATGACGTGCTTGCAGCGCTCTCATCTGATTTGTGGCCCGTTTGATTTTTACTCTTGTGTGGTACTAGGACGGCAACATTGGATCCTTTCAACATGCTTTGATTTTAGATAAAGGGAGGAACCCTTTACAACTGGGAATCAATATCACCCCCAAACAAAATGAACCCTCTATGAATTAGTAATACAATTCAGGCTAGGCCGGAGTCATGGACCACTGCCTTTGTCAGACATAACCTAACCTTAATAATACCACAGGAGAAAATTCTAATCACGTATCGCGGAGGCTATCAGATAGGGAATACAACGTGCCCAAAGTATTACAGCTTCTCAATTGGCGCTTATTGAGGTGGGACTCAGGGCAACATGTGTCAGGGTAGCTGCAATGTCATGAATATTTCAAGACAGTGGTGGAATAGAACATTTCCACAAGTCCGATTAAATCAACCAAGAGGAACCCTGTCTCCTTCTTTTCCATATGCCTGATGACTGGAGTAATTTTTACCAGTGTAATTGTGGTGAAGGCTGCTGATTTCTTGTTGATGTCATAAGTAATGCAAGACATGTAGCTGACAATTTCAACAAATTTTTACTTTGAACTAAAGATTTAATAGAAAGTAGTGGTACTGACAGTTTTTACTTCCGATTCATAATAGTATTTTTGCAGTTTAACTTTTAAAAATCATAAGAAGCTTATTTGTTTAGATTTTGCTTCACTTATATACAAAAGAAAACTGGAAGTCCTTGTGTGCTGAACCTTGATGTTAGTACAATCCTTGTTAATTTTCTGCCACTCTCACAGATATTTTCGCAACCCCTGAGGAACCTGTTTGTGCCTGTATTTCTCAACTGCTGGTTGGCTAAGTCAGCCCTCACCAACATGTTGGTAAGTTGGACAGAACTACATGTATTATCAGATAGAGAAGCAAAACAACAAGAATGATAAAGATCGCACATTTTAGTCAAGAGTTTTGCATGTGATCAGGAGATTAAAATTCAGACTGGTAAGCTGATGTCCTTGGTGCTGAACAGAAGGTTACTGTTAATCCAGCAGATTATTACACTGCAGAATCTTTATTCTCAAAAAGTTGACAGGACTGAGAATAAGAATACTTAAAAGCTTTTCATGATATCAATTCAGTGTTTTGATAGACATTGAAAATATTTCCATTACACTGATCCAATTGAATAGCAGTAGATTTTGATACCTTACCCCATACTATGTCTGCCCTTTCAAAATATTTTACACATTATTGCTGTCCTTGGTGCTGAACTAAAGGCTGTGATTTCAACATTGTTTTTCATTGGAAGGACAACATTTTATGGAGGCTCTGAAATTGTATGTATGTGGAGCATGTTGTGTAGTTCATGTTTAAACAGTGGAGAACATTTCTATGTTGAGAAGTCCTGATACTTTGTTTCAGAATGACTTGAACAGAGCCATGCAGAGAAGCCAGTCTGCACTAGCCCAGCAGGTCATCATTCTCATAGCCACACTGTTGTGTTTAGTCTTCACAAGGTCGGTATTATTCAGGTTTGTGCTAAACACAAAATAGTTCAGCAGTAACTTCATCTGAAATAGTTTTTCTTGAATGGTTCAAATATTCAAATATCCATTAAGTTCTTAGCTTGGTTCTTCATGCAACATTTTAAACCATATCTAGATCTGGCATTCCCAAGGATTGACATTATCATGTATCAGCCAGTGGTATTCTGAGTCTTAGATGATATTATTGTTATATGAGAATTGTTATACTGCAAGAAGTACCTTAAAAAGTATCAACGAAATGAACTTAAAAGCATTGATCCATATGGTATCTGTATTTGTATCAATATAGTCAGTATACTAGTAACTGCCCTTCGGTGTACCACAACAGCTGTGTATTGTGCCTGTGTTGTACATACAAAACATGGTCTACATGAAGGTGTTGTTATTATGTTCCTCTCTACAGCATATGTGGAATCCAACACTTTGAGAGGGCAGGGAAGAACATCAACATGTTTGACTCCTTCTGGTTTGTGATCGTGACCTTCAGCACAGTGGGCTACGGTGACATCACCCCGGAACTCTGGGTGTCTAAAGCCATGGTCATCATCATGATCTGTGTGGCACTCATCATCCTACCCATCCAGGTAACCTGGGCCTGTATTTTATTTGTTTTGCTGAAGAAACAGCCAAGGCTACCCAACTAGCTCAGGGCTACTATTAAGGGCCAGCCTCAAGAATAGTACGAAACCTGAAGTTGCAAACATTAACACACTCATCTATGCTCTTTACACGTACCCCACCCCTAAAGCTTGCTATCATGCTTGCTATTGTTAAAATTATATGACATGAATTGTATGGAGACTTATATGCCTTAGAAAGTCTTTGCTTGGCATTGGTTAAAAATAACCAACATGCATTTGATTGAAGGGTACAATGCTGAAATCCCCCAATAATCTTACGTGAAAATTATCATTCACTAACTAAATTAAATATTATGCCAAGCCCACATTGTTAGAAACATCACATTCTGTTGGTATTGGAGTTGCTAACCTCAGTTGTCCTGTGTTCCTTACTTTCTGTGCTGTTTTGTTTCCTCACTTTTGGAGGTGGCAATCTTGTTCTGTGTTAACATCCTGTGTGTTCTTGTTGGTGTTTTTCTTCTTTCTTCCCTTCCTCTTTCCACCACTACTCCTTTACCCCTAGCTGAGTCGCCCAAAATACCGCAAGCTGGTACGTTAGTCTAATAAACCAGCGACAATGTTACCCTTCCTTTTATCTATTACGCATCTGAACATTTTATGGCCAAACATGGAGAAAAATCTTTTAGACTGTAACTACAAAATGAAACACTTCAAAAACTTTGTGTTCAATTTAACAGCCAAATCAAAATAATGCCCCAATGTTGTATCTAAAGCTGTACTTGCTAGCAGATGGTAATTTTTTTCTAATTTTTATGTTGTTTCCATGTTGTATTGTTGAATTGGTGCAAACCTTGTGGCTGGAGTAGGTGACAAATTCTAACACACCCAGGCAGGCCTGGAAAATGGGCCACATCAGATTGGTGAGAACAGTGAGCAGCAATTCAGCACAAGTCCTGTACTGTTGTAGGACTGCCCTGTCCTGTCTACAAGTTCCAGGCATGCCATTCATACCCTGTGTGACTTCACTGCCAACTGTTCTCACAGCTTCAACAAGAACTGGCCTGAATGCCTCTCTTAACAACCAGTTTTTGTCCTCTCTTCTCAAGTTTGATGCAGGAGCATGCAAAACTGCACTGATCATGATATGGCTGCAGTAGCCCTTGGTCCTCCTTCTACTGCAAAAATAGTAGATCATATGAATCATTAAGTAAAACTTGTGATGCTTACATCCAAGATGGTCTGTTCACTTCTAGTCTGAGAATGTTTTTTATTGTAAAACGTCTAAGTCTAATTCACTCCTGGTAAAATTTCTAAGAAACAACTCAGAAATAGAGTAAAATTTCAGCTTTTCCCAAGTACAATGTATGTGCAACATTCAGGATACTTGCTGGATGACATAGACATGATGCTTTGAAACTTAGTCTGGAGCAGACAAATACAAGATAACCACTTGTTGCTTTCATTTTAAGACATTATGATCAATTCCTATGTTTTCTTGTGCTTGGCAGTTTGAGCAGATGGCATTTCTGTGGATGGAGCGTACCAAACAGGGTGGAAGTTACTCCCGGCAGCGAGCGGAGAGCGAGAATCACGTGGTGGTGTGCGCCACCCAGCTGCAGACTGATGTCATCATGGACTTCCTGAACGAGTTCTACGCACATCCAAAACTGCAGGTGTGTACTGGGACAGGAGGTGCCTCTTTCTTCCATAAAGGCATTGGTTTGTTTATAAGCAAGACTTGAACTTAACAATTGGATTTTTATGATTTTACATGTAGTTTTTTTACTTCATAATGAAATGATGACATTTTTCGAAATATCTGGGCTAATTTCCAAATTGAAAGTTAGAAGGTAAAATTATATAACCAGCAAATTTCTCTGGTATTATCATCTATTTATATATTCTGTTATTATATATTTGTTATTACTTTGAGAAACAGTCAACATAAAAAAGCCACTTTTTACATGACTAAAACACCACTTCTCCTCACATCAGGACTACTTTGTGGTCTTGCTGGCCCCATCAGAGCTGGACAACAACCTGAGAAGAATCCTGTCTGTCCCTCTCTGGGCCCAGAGAGTCATGTACATCCAAGGGTCAGCTCTCAAGGACCAGGACCTGGTCAGAGCAAAGTGAGTAATTCAACAGTGCCTCCTGTCAACTGTGTGGAGAAATGCAGGGTTGCATGGAGACTTGCCGAATTGATGTTTTACAGACACAGAGTGGCTGTTTCCTCAAACACTCCACAGCATTTTGTGTAACTATGTGAAGCCTTCATTGTAAGGAGGAATATGAACTGTTTGTAGTGTTTCTGTGTCTTGCTCTCTTGCAACAATCATCTCCAAGCTACATGTGCGCTGTGAGAATCTCTGACTCTTCATGTACTGTGTTTTGCTGTGGTGCTGTGACTGACTGTACTTGGAGTGTTTTTTTTTTTGGTGGTTTGACTAACAAATCCCTGTGACTTCCTAACCTCGGTGATTCTGTCCTCCGTTCCTGCTGCCACCCAGAGTGGACGACGCAGAAGGATGCTTCATTCTTGCCTCCAGGAATGAGGCCAACCCAGCTGCAGTAGTAAGTCAGTTTCTTCCTAGATCAAATACAGAACAGCCTTTATGACTGCCATTTCTTCACATTGGATATGACTACAGAATCTACACTATTTTTTTAAACCAATGGTATCCAACCCTATTCTATCTTCATATCTTCTGCCCTATCCACTACACCATGGCTATTTGGAGAGAAACTGACAGCATACAAATGTATACAAACGGATGCCAAACATTTATTGCTCTTGTTCATTTAGAGATTCCTAGTTGAGTATTTCAATAGGTAGTTAAGAGACTGTCAGACAGAAATTATTTGGTATCTGCTTTAGAAAATGCCCTTGTAATGAAGAAAAAAATATTACAGAGTGGTTAGTGTTTTTTTATTATAATAATGATTTTAAGAGCAATGCTACATTGCTATCTGTGACTTCTCTTTAAAAGCTGTTTTGCAAACCTACAAAATTGTTTTGCAAACCTGTGCTTTTTAATTATTTCTGTAGCAGTGCCACATGTTTTCAATGTGAGTAGTCAATGATTGACTGTCAGTGGTAGTACCTAAAAATCCTACAAAATAATCTGTTTTATAACCAGCTTTTGGCAAGTGAATTAATCCATTAACATACTTGCAGCTAATCTGCTTTGGTTTCAACAACTGCAAAATTGGCATACAGTATTTTCAATTTTTCCAACAGGTTAGATATTGTTGAAAACAATGGAAATGAAATTGGTACAACAGCAATACTGTATTTCTGTGCTTTTAGGTGCTAGTATAGACAGTGGTGACACTGTTCATGAAGCACTTCTTACCTTTACCTTGTATTTACTAACATCCTCTACATGAAAACCTATCCTTCTGAGCCTCACCAAACAACTTGAAGTTCGTTGTTTCTCATCATAAAACATTCAATGCATAATTTTCAAAATGCAAATTTGGACCTGTTTTTTTTTTCATTTTGCCTCCAGGCTTGAACATAATCTGGCAATAATTTGAATTAGCATATTTTTGAAGTCTTCATACAAATACATTTACAAAGATTTGTTTTACAACCACCAAAAGGATCAATGTTTCTGTGTTCTTCATTCTTGTAATGTGTCAAATTTTCATCAGAAGCAAGTTGTTGTTCATGTTACTAAAGTATGCGGCATTTCTTCTGAGTGTGTATTGTAAAGATCAGGGTAGCTGACGGTTAACTGTATCTTCTGCAGCAAGCTTCGGTCAGGCACAGCCTGTGTCCAGTCAGCCCAGATTTTAGCCATACTGTCAGCTTGACGGTCCCTCAAGAGCGTTGTGCCGGGCGCAGACTTGAGGTGATCAAATTCACACAGATTGCATTGATGGATCATATATGATGGGAAACAATCATCTTTTATTTGTTTGGCCTGCTTTTATTTCTTTCCATTCATTGGTCATCCATACTACATTCGAAAAAAACAACAACAGCAAAACAAACAAAAAAACATGTTCGCTGTCATTGGACTGAGTCTGAAACTTCTACCAAAACTTACAACCCCGAGATGTCAAAGTTTGGCAAATATAATGAAATGAAAATGACTGACATTAGTAGTATCTAATGTCCAAATCACCTGGTCTTCCTGTGGAGGGTCTATTTTGTGCACAACCATGACAGGCAGCACAGCAGTTTCCCCCCACATGTAGTTTTACCCTCACTCACCCTTTATTAACCCAGGTTGGTGCCTATCATGCCGGGACTAAATCTGCGGAGGTAAAGCTCGCATATTCCTCACAAGTACCTCAGAAGCTTGGAAGTTCTCAATTGTTCAACTAATTTCTCTTTACAGATATTTTGAATATTGTTTGAATTGCCAAAATCAAACAGAAAAATGCTCTCAGGCAATGTAGACGATGTGTAGAAAAGTGTAGAAATGTGCTTTCAGGATTTCCAAAACTGAAGCCAAAGTAACTTCCAGGTTCATGAAATGGTTTTTTTTGTCTGTCATGTTTGTGTTTGTCATGTACACATCCCTCCATTCTCAACATTGCTTGATCTGAGCTTCCCAAGATTCCTCCCTCTCTATGTCTTCTGAGCTCTGTCAAAAACTTCCCGATTCACTGGTACAATCAGTTCTTATCACTCGACAAAGTTTTTTCATCCGCCCTCAACCTCACAACCCTTACTTGGGTCTTGTTCAGTTGTAATCTACAAATCTCTTATATCATAAATAAAGGATGTGAAATTCAAAATTTACAGTGAAGATGGAAACGTTTGGGGTATCAGATGACATTAATTTGTATCTGTTCTGTATGTGTGATGCTTACTTGTGATGAAATGTCAGTGGAAAAAACAACAGGAAGGAATGTATTACTGTGAGGTACAGTATTTTAGTCACATGTTCATGCAGTATGAAGTTTGTTTCAGTTTTATAGATATATTGTGAAGGCAGGTGAATATTACCTCAGTCTGTATTTACTTCTCTGTGTGTCATTTATGTCATCATTTACATTCAACTTTGTGTGTTACAGTTTTTGTTTTGTTTTGTAATATTTCTAACAAGATAGGACAGTGTTAAGTATTGTGTCATTGCTTCAAATATGAATAATATTGGCACAAACTTGAATCAAGTTGAAAATCAACTCAGCAAATTTGGCAACTGTACTAAAAGCTGAACATGCAGGTCTTTTGGTCAACAATGGCTGGCAATAGAAATATTTCGTTCAGTATCCAACCTTGAACACTTCTGTCAGAATTCAAAAGCTTTATAATAAGACAGCTCGACATTAAGAACAGTTTTTCTAGAATAAAAATGACTTAACAGTTAACTCTTTTTTTTATTCAAAGAATAAGAAACATGCTAGCCAGCTAATGCCTGCCAAATTTGACAACTCAAGCCTGTTATTTTTAGTATTTGATGTTCCAACTGTCCTGGTCCCCCCAGGATGAACACACCATCCTGAGAGCCTGGGCTGTGAAGGACTTCGCCCCCAACTGTCCGCTCTACGTCCAGATCCTCAAGCCAGAGAACAAGTTTCACGTCAAGTTTGCAGGTAAGATACAATCATGTACATGATGTACCATTTCCCAAGTTATTTAGTGTAATTGTTGATATGCCATTTCCCAAGTTATTTAGTGTAATTGTTTATTAATAAAGGTTGAAAAACAATGAAAATCTGAGGAGTAGAATGACCTGGGTGTTATTCTGAGAAAGTTTTGGACAAAGGTACAATGCTTTTAATTGATTCTAAGCATACCAGAGACTCATTTAGCCTCAGTGAATGAAGAGTTTGCAATTGTTCTATAATTTTGCTGAGAAGATTAATAACTGTTTTTCCCTGAAGACCTGTGCTCCATACCATAAGATAGCCATCAAAAATAAGCATCAATATCATCATGATTGAAGTCAAGTTCTCTTGAAGTTTTTATGAAATGGCAAATTATTTTCATAATGAATTTCTGTTGTCCTTTTTCCAGAGCATGTGGTGTGTGAAGATGAGTTCAAGTTTGCCCTGCTGGCCAACAACTGCCTGTGTCCAGCCATGTCCACTTTCATCACCCTTCTCCTGCACACATCCAGGGGACAGTAAGTTCACAAGGGGTCAACAGGCCTCCAAGAAAGATTACGTTGTTCTCTAAATCTATTGTTGTCCCACAGACAAAAAAAGTCTTTTATCCCCATTCTGCTTAATGATGGAGAACATTGGAAGGATTTATTTGTGTAAATCTCTGTATCAGTGTGCTGCATTGTTCACTGCAAATTTGAAGTGATTTACACACCATTAATGTTAATTATATTGTTACTATTACTTTTAATTGACTGACATTCTATAGAATGTATCGTTTGTTCAGGGAAAAAACTAATCGTTGGTATCTTTCATTTTCACAGGGAAGGCCAGGAATCGTCGGAGGAATGGCAGAGAATATATGGGCGCTGTTCTGGGAATGAGGTTTACCACATCAGGCTGGCTGACAGCAAGTTTTTTGGAGAGTATGAGGGGAAAAGTTTTACTTATGCCTCCTTCCATGCACATAAAAAGTGAGTCAAGTGAAGCTACAATACATGATATTCAATTGATTTAATGTATTTCCCTGTCCTTGGTTCTGAAGTTGAAGTTGCAGATTGTATTTTAAAGTCAAAGTTTTTTTATGGTGACTCAAATTTATGTTTTTAAAAGTTAGGGAAAGGAAGAAAACCAGATGCTAAAAGTAACCATTATGAAATAGACTCATATCTTCACAAACCAGTAACTTCATTGTCAGTTTTTTATCCGTATATAGTCTGGGAAAGGTGAAAACCTTTACCCATGTTCATAAAGAAATGTACCAAATACATTTTAACTTTTCATACAGATATGGTGTAGCCTTGGTTGCCATTGGAAAAGATGAAGTGACAGGAATCAAGCTAAACCCAGGCCCAAAGCACATCATGAGGAAAGGAGACATGTGTTTCTACATGGCCATCACCAAGGAGGAGAACTCTGCCTTCATCCTGGCCAAGAAACAACACGAGAAGGAGAAGTCCAAGTTCAACACAACTCCTCGGAGCACCAGAACACACAGCATTATCGCTGGAGCGGGTAAGGGTTACAATTGTTTGGTGTGACGAGCACGTTGGCAGAATATACTGTGCCTGTGAGAAACCCCTAGTGTATTATGCATAGCACTTTGTCAGAATGTCTCATATAATGCTTAGGTCACATTTGAAATGGCGCCCGTTTGGCATGTCCTCGGCGTAGACGCCGGCCGGCATCATGGCGCCGAGCGTGCGCCATACTGTCAGGGTCAGAATTAAATGTTCCTTTACGGCTCCCTGTCGGGGCCTGCTTGTGCTCAGGCCGGCGGCTCTCATTAATATTCATAAACTTTTGCGGCCGGTTTCTGTCAGGGACCCGTCCGGTGGCCGGTCAGTCGCCCGTCTTGACCCGTGCGGCGTGTGGTAGGGTGCCGACCGGCTCTTACAGTTCGGCCGGGCAGCTGTCAGGTCCCTGGCGGGTTCCTGGCGGGATCCCGACGGGCTCCTCTCGTGTTTTTGAGCAGGTACATATATAAGCGCTGCACTGCCTGCTACCGTTCACTTCAAGTAAAGAGTACACGTCAAGTAAAGAGTACACTGAAGTTGGCGATGCAGCGTTCAGTGAAACCTGCAAACAACTTACAAGCCCGTCGGAGATTGAAATTGGTGACAACCTACAAGTAGAGGCAGGCAGAACTGGTGCGTCGCAAAAGTAACCGAGGGCCTACTTTCGAAAGTACTTCAACAGTGACGCAGGAAGTGTGCAGTGGCAGCTCCTTGCTATTGAGCAATAAAACCACTGAATATCGTTACTTCTGTTGAAATTTGGACTGAAAAAAAAATGCCAATAACTTCTGCTTCCATTTCATTACGAAGGCATATGATGTAACAAGAGATAATGTCAGACACATTTTATTCCTGTTATGATCTGTTTAATGAAGCTGGCAAGAGAGCCGTGCCGGCTGTTTTCCCTTGCGCTTCGACATTCTGACACACAAATACAAGGTGTAACACACACAAGTACACGATGTAACACATACGTGGTGAACTGTGCGACGTAGTCTGAGGCAGGAGTTTATATATGCTCCCTATAACCCCCTTTTCCTGACCATCTGATGCACTGATCAGCACATGTGACGTCATAATCTTAGGCAGGTGCCTGTTCGGCCGCCTGACGGGTCCCCGGCAGTGAGGTTACGGCGTCGCTTCGGCGTATTTCGCCGAACGGGGCCCGAAGTGATTTTAACTCTGAGTTAAAATTGATTCGGCGACCGCGCGGGGCCAAAAATAGGCCGGCAACCGTCGGGAAGCCCGCCGGTCTCCGTCCAGGTCCCGTTCGGTAGTGCCAAAAAACACGCCGAACACGCGCCGAGCGGGCCCCTTTCTTGAATTGTGACCTAAGCATAAGGTCGTATTCGCACATATAAGGTTAACATCCCATCAGTAGTTTCCAAATGTTGTGTTGGAAAAGATGTCGTCTGCAACAGGCAAAATTCTGATGCAATGTTGACCAAGCATCCAACGAAAACTGAAAAATCAGGGTTTCGTGCAGGCGCAGTACGTTCTGCCAAGGTGCTGGTGCATGTGGTGTACATTTACAAACCAACTACGGTTTCTTCCTGGAGAAGTTTGTTGTTTATCTCTTAATGCTATTTATAATTATCAATGCCAAAAAACGTTTTGCAAAAACATGATGTCATACAATGTCTGTTCCGTGTGTTTTATGCCATGTTCCTTCTGAGGGTTCCGTTAATATAATAAAACAAGTGAGTACTGAAGACTTCAAGCACTTGTACATGGCATGGAATAAGGCTTCGCTCCTTGCATGCCATCCCTGCTCCCTGGCAAGAGGCTCTTGCAAGAGTTTGCCTCTAACCTGAGCACAGCAAGATTGATGACACTTGTGTACTAAAACTGCCTAATTGATTAATTAATTAATAAACCTGTAATTGTCACTGCATTTCTTCCAGCATGTAGAAAAACTGAATTCAATGCATTATGTGATTGTCTCTTTAACAATAAGGAATGTGTTTGGATGCTGTAAAAATCTAATTTGCATCAGACTAAGGGCTTTAGATGGATTCATGGGGGCATCATTTGTTTTCTTTAATGAATGGGAGGAACGTTAGAAGCCTAACAACATTTTCTCACTGCCTTCTTGTCCTAACAGTTAAAAGAACTTTCACCCCTAGTGTCCATGTTTGAGACCCATCCATGCACCACTAATGTTTCTGTTCATACAGCATGTCAACAGGAACATTTCAGTCCATAAGAACAGTCAGAACTCTTTCTTCTTCCCTTCCATCTCTGTCTGCAGGTACGGTTGCACTAGAACTCCAACGCTCCCGCCCGTCCAATGCCAGCAACCATGCCCTGTTGTCTCCACCACATAACCCAGACAAGCGCCCAAGTATCGCTGACGTCATGGAAACCATGGAACCAGAGTACATCCCAGTACCACTGGACGAGCCATCCGAGGACGAGGCTGACCAACACGACGGGAGGGGAGATGTCGCTATATTAGAGTGAGTTCTTGTTTAGCTGTGCCCAACACAGTCAGTGTAATAGTTTCAAAGGCAACAATGGAAATGCAGACAGTGCATATGAAAGATTATTAGCCATACAATAGTGAGTAAGGCAGGAAATAAAGAGTCTGTGAGGGCAAAGGTATGCAGCACCAGGAATTCAGCACCAAGGACAGTACTACTTTGAACACACGATTCCTGTCTTTCATTTCTTGTTCAAACTTGAGCAGAAATTCAAATGAAAGAGTAGAGTAGAAAGTCAAATTCAAAGAGTAGAAAGACTGGAATGGTGTGTTCAAATTAGCACTGTACCTTGGTGCTGAATTCCAGGTTCTGCCTTCCTTTGTCCTCACAGACACTTAATGTCCTGCAAAACTCGCCTACATGGCTAATAATTATACATGTGTACTGTCTGTTTGTCACATTGTCAGTTGCATGTTTAGTAACCCTTCTGTTCACATGAATACACTTGGCACACCTCCATATTCCCAGTAAGATCAATGTTTGTCTCCCAAGCTACATGTACAAGCAGGACTACATAGTTACCTGTGTGTTTTACTAACAATCCATCATTTTGTCTGCAGCTATGTGCAGGACTACCCACCTGTCCAGCCGTACATCGGCTACACCTCCATGGTCTGCCACCTGATGAAGGAGAAGGTGCCATTCTGCTGCCTGCAGCTGAACAATGTATGTACTACTGCACCTCATAGATTCTTCTGTCTCTTTGGCTGACATCTGTACAGCTGTAATACCCTTCTAAAAATCTCCTGTGCATATTGGAACCCAAATCTACTTAAAGGCAGAGATGGTTGTAAACTCTGTATTTAGTCCAGATGCTATTTAACAATGGAAATAATGAAATAGATAGAATACTGGCCTATCATCAATCATATGCATGTAATGAAAATGGTAGATAGCGGAGAGAAAGAACTACCTTGATAAAGTTATCCTAGCATCTTTGCAAAGAATATTTGAAAGTTCTATTGTCATCCTTCTTTTCTACAGCCCTGTCAGCACAACAACTTTGAATATGCACATCATTACAAATGGCCGAACAAGTCCATCATCGTGGCAGCGGAGTACGCCACCCCTGGTCTCTACAACTTCATCGTTCCCCTGCGGTCACAGTGCAGACCCAAGAGGGAACTCAACCCCATTGTTTTTCTTCTGGAGAATTTGTAAGTACAATTTTCTGTATTATACTCATATTCTTTGCGATCCTGTCACCTTAAAGCATAATTCCAAATAATAATGAATTGATACATGTATCATATTAACTTTCAGTTGTTACTCTATATAGTCTCCATCTCTCAATTATTGTAAATATTGCAGACAGACACCAGCTACATTTCTTTTTCAGCCATACTAATTTTCAGTATTTCTTTTCTTCTACCCTGCAGGCCAGATGAGAGATTTCTTGAGGCTATTTGTTGCTTTCCAATGGTGTACTACATGGTTGGATCTATCAATAAGTAAGTGTACTGCCAAAGGTCTTGAAAATGTATGTCCTGGATTGATGCTGTAATTGAGGTTGATGAGCAGAGAGGGATGCAAGTTCACACACATTGCAAGAAGCTTAGATAGATTTTAAAAACAAATCTTAAACTTAGATAGATTTTGATAAGAAAACATTAAGATCTTTATAATCGCCATAGATTTACGTAATTTTGCACTTAGCACGGCAGGAGAACGTACTGCACCTGAGTGTGTGAATCCCGTAATGGATTGTGCATAGCACTTTGGCAGAACGTCTCATATACAGTAAGGTTGTATTTGCGTATATAAGGTTAACATCCCATCTGTAGTTTCCAAATGTTGTGTTGGAAAAGATATTGTCTGCAACAGGCAAAATTCTGATGCAACATTGACCAAAAATCCAACGAAAACCGTGAAAAATCAGGATTTTGCACAGGCGCAGTACATTCTGCGGACGTGCTAATATTGCTAGGACTAACCTGTATCTCACCTGCCCCACAGTTTGGATGATTTGCTGCGGGCCGGCATCATTCACGCCAACAATGTTGTTGTTGTTGACAAGGAGAGCTCTAAAGCTGCAGCAGAGGACTACATGGCCGACTCAGGCACCATTGTCAATGTGCAAACAATGTTCAGGTGGAGACTTCTTATTGCTATTACGATAAACTTCTCACATGTTAGAGATGCACACTCTCTATTGTTAAGTCTTTTTCTTTTCCCTATTTGCCACATTAGACGTTAAAGCAATAATGTACATCCCTGTCCTTGGTGCTGAAAGTGAGGTTGAGGAACACTACCGCTAGATTACATGCAGTGCAAAAAGTATAGGTAGACTTTTATAAGAAAAATGATGTTCTTAATCATTAGCATAGCTTCCTGTGATAATACTGCTCTAAAGAAAAGTCTAAACTCTCCAGTTGTCTTGGTGTTATGGTTCAATGCTGGCTGAATTTGTGGTGTATTGGATACCTGATGACAGTCTTGTATTGGAGAGGCCAGTCCAAATAGCTACAACACTCAAAGATTTAGCAATGATTTGTTTCATAAATGAATATTCCTCCCTTCCCCCAGGTTATTCCCAAGCACCAGCATCATAACAGAGTTGACACATCCGGCTAACATGAGGTTCATGCAGTTTCGCGCCAAGGACTGCCAAGCCCTCAATGTTGCCAAACTGGAAAAGGTAAACCTGTCTATAAGCTAGCTGTCTGCATTTCACTTTTAACCTTTATGATATAGCATACATCAGTGGCCGTAAATGTATTTACATTATATTTGAACATTAAGATTGATTGAAGCCACGTGTAGTATGTGTTTTGATCTCAACATGATACTGACAACTGTTTCCATTTTTGTGTTCTCTCTTTTTTTGTTTGTCATTTTCCTTCGCAGAGACCAAAACGAAAGGTACATCTAAGGAAACATTAGGTTGTCCCATGAAGCTCCAAGAATGTATGTGGACCAGCTTACCATGGTGTGGAGGCTACAGCTGGCTACATTCATTGTTTTATATTACAGTAATACCATACTTTTAATAATGCCGTACATTTCTTTCTCATCAACACAGCACTACCAATTTGCAGACATTGAGTTGAATACAACACTAAATGACAAATAATGCTTGACTGATCATAATCACCTTACCTATCTTACCTACTTATAGAAATAAGAATTCCTTTTCTCTGCCTCTCTACTACCCATGAATGAGATGTCCTAGAGATGGAAAAGGAAAAGCTGAGAATCCTTTTAAACCAAGTACAACTTTTTAAGTTTCTGTGAGCTACCAAAACCAAAAAAGAACCTTCAAACATTTCTTCATAATTTTTCAGTGAATGTTCACATTTATCATTGAGAGGCATGTACTACTGCCAATCAGTCTCAAAGACTATGACTTATGGGAGGCATAGAAAGGGAAGATACCAAGCATGGCAGATGAATGTGACTGTATGTGTTTTTCTTTCCACAGAGCCACCTTACATGTATATTGAACAAGGCCATACTTAAGCTGAGTAAGCTTTGGCTGTCTCTGAACTATCCTATTGCTGTGGGCAAAGCTTTTCCAGCTCCCACCGTCTCTCATCACAAACTAAAATGTTGTTTCCTTGCTTGAATGTACCAATTTATACTTTTCTACTTGCAGAAAGAGAAGGAAAAGGGCTCCAACCTTGCGTACATGTTCAGACTGCCATTTGCTGCAGGGAGGGTCTTCAGTGCAAGCATGTTGGACACACTGTTGTACCAGGTTTGTGTGTGTGTGCATGCTGAACTATACATATTCCCTGTACAAAGTTTGAGGTATAAATTCCGTTGCTAATAGCATGCTGAAGGTTAGTTACTTAAACCAAAGGTATCATTACACTTCATTTCTTTGTTTATTTATCATATTTGTTTGTCATGATACATATTTACGGTAGGAATGACATTTGATTTTTGACTGCTCATGATGCCTTTGTTGTTCCAGTCATTTGTTAAGGAGTACATGATCACGCTGGTGAGATTGCTGTTAGGACTTGGCCACACCCCTGGTTCTGGGCATCTTCGATCGGTGAGGATCTACATTTTCACAAGATTTCCACACTGTTTTAACAGATACTGCAATACTGGCATACTGGCAAGCTGCAGAAAACTATGAAGGCACTTGCAGATTGATACAGTGAAACTCATTAACATGACATCAATCATTTTACTCAGGCACCATTGCCAATGTGCAAACAATGTTCAGGTGGAGACTTTTTATTCTCTCTGGGTAACAATATATATACTATAATTATGTCTCACATGTTAGAAATGTACACTTTCTGTTGTTAAGTCTTTTTCTTTTCCCTCATTGCCATATTAGCTGTTAAAGCAAAAATGTATGTCCCTGTCCTTGGTGCTGAAGTTGAAGTTGCAGAACACAAGTTTATATGGACTTTAATAAGAAAAATGAGGATTAACATGATGTCAATCATTTTACAACATAGAAATAACCGTAATGTTGGCACTTGTGTGTGACAGATGAGGGTGACAGAGAATGACTTGTGGATCCGGACCTACGGTCGGCTGTACCAGAAGCAGTGCTCCTCTAGCTGCGAGATCCCCATCGGCATCTACCGCACAGAGAGGAAACCTCTGGTGGGAATGGAGGTACGGCCTACGTTTTTGCTTCAGGATTATTCATCTATTGTTCATTTTACAGACTGTAGCATGCCTACTTAGCAGGCAAGCGGTGGCAGCTGTTTGAAACAGTACATCAAGCGTAACCCTACAATAGAAATTCTATACACAACATGTACATGTACAAAGGTATCTACTATATTTGATAGTAAACAGTTCTACTCTGCAATAGTTTGAGAAGAACACATTTCTAACACCTCAAGTCTCTGTTGATACCAGGATTCAGGTAAGACTTCTTCTGCCTTGACTGCCTTCATTTTAAAAAGCTACTTTTCCCCTTCATCTCAGGGCCTACTTTGTACTCATGACAAACACATGCACCTGCAGATGTAGGGCTGCTCATTATCATGCACCTGTTCACTGCAGCTGCAGCAGAATGGCTTTCAATGTCAAATACAGTGAATATGCTGCAATGAAAGGATCTCATATTCATATTATATTATTTAAATACAACTATTGGACTATAATGAAATCCTCCAAAACTACACTTCTTTCAGGGGATATTAAGACCTTTTCAACGACACAAGAAACAACGAAAAAAGAAGGTAAAAATGTGCACAACTTTCATCTGAATTCAGCATGGGATAAAGAGTCCATGACGGAATCTTTGGCCTCTGTTACAACACGTGTCATATCCTGGGTGCCAGCCTTGTTGCGTTTAGTCTAAGCAAATTTGGGGTGCAGACTGAGCCCAAGAAGACTGTCACCCAGGCTACAGATATTCCACGAAAATCTGTAGCCTGGGTGACAGATGTTGTTGTAACAACACTTAAGTGTTGTTTCTTTGTTCCTTTGCAGGATTTCTTCGATGAGGAGACCAGATCACAGAATTCCGAACGAGAGCAGTTGAGAGAGTTAGTGAAGAGCAGAGTCAAGGACTTAGGTCTACCAGAGGAGCATTATGGTGCGCTCAAAATTACTTGTAGATGCAATAAGAAGAAAGCACAAAGGGGTATATACAATACAGTGCTTATGTGTAATAAGTAATGTCACAGTGGTTTTATCATTTGATTTTCATCCTATGCTGTAGACATCTATCAATAGTGCAGAATGTCTTATGCTAACAAACATAATGAAAAAGAAATTAATGGTGTTATTAATTATCATGAACAAAATCTAATGTTAACTTATTTTCCAACAGATCCCCTGATAGTGTCTTTGATAACCATTTTTGTTCCATTCTGCAATTACTGCACATTAGTTTTTGTAGTACATTATGTTATCTCATTCTAATATCAACTAATCACACTAATGACTGCTATATATCTTTTTTTCCAACTTAGGTAATCACTTAGATGGTGAGTTTGGATCATAAGTTTGTCTTAGCGCTTCTTTATACTGTTGGCATTTTTTGAGCAACACACATATTATGATTTGATGACCCACTGACGAGTCTCTTAAGTTCAATTTTCTTCAGCTATCTTTCATTCCTGCTCTCTTTTTACAGTATTTCTGTAATTGTTTTTATATTACAATAATCGTTTTGAACCTCTCCTTATGTTCAGTACCATCCAATATCTACCATTACACTTTTTGCTATGACTATGATCACAATAACTTCATGATTCATGCAATTTCCTATAAGTCATTCTTCCACAAACTAACTTTATTACAGATAAGAACATATTCATGCATAACAATCATTAGTGCAAAAAAAGGTTAATAAAAAAACATAATATACAGTTTGCAGTCTGGATTTATACATGTACCCTAAAATGACAACTTAACCCTGTTCATTTATAATAATATTTCCACATAATCTATACAAAATCTGAAACACGGAGTAAATTTTCCTAACATTCATGGTAGATATGTAATATGAAAAATCATGATTTTGAGTCAGCAATGTTTACATGTTATTTAAAGACACAGTACTGAAAGGATATGACCTGGCTAGTTGCATGAAACTATGACATTCTCTCCTTAAATCCCTGTAGACATGACTAACTTAAGCTCCTATGCCATTTTTTTCCAGACGACCTGCATAACAGAAGAAGCAGTCTATCATACGTTCTCATCAACCCATCTGATGACACAAGGCTAGAGCTCGATGATGTCATGTAAGTCAAGTATATTTACTAAATCAAATGCACTAGATTCTTAAACTTGTCTTGTCTTTTACGCCCACAGAATCAGTTATTTATGTTCTTTAGTGCCCTTACCTTCATTTCCCTTAAGTTTTATTTGTACTGGTCACTTGTTTTGTAATTAACACATGTGCAGCTGCTAATAATTCAATTGTCATTGGGCTTAAGCAGTATGAAAGAAGAAGAAGTCTGCTGACAGAAGTTGAATTTATCTAATGATAGTTAGTTTGATAGATAGTTAGTTGTATTTTGTATCTACTGTATCTGTTCATCATGTTTTGTTTTGACCTGTACTTAGCCCTGCATGAGTGTGGCAAAAATGTGCAACAAAGATCATCATTTATTCAATTCATTATACATATACATATGAGGTGTTTATCTTCCCATCTGTGATGTTTGTGTAGTTATCTCTTGCGGCCAGATGCCTCTGTCCCCTGTGCCTCCACCCCGACCGACCCAGATGAGATCTCCCTGCAGGAGGACGGCAGCATCAGGCCGACTCATCGCACACGGTCTCCCGAGAACCGCAAGGCACAGGTATTTATTAAGCTTGTCATATTCTATTCAGAACCCTGTGCCTATCTACTAGTAGTTCCATGCCTGGGTAGTGTAACAGTTGGGGGTTTATAGGCGCTACCAACTGACCCAGCCGATGGGTCTAGACCTTTTAGCTCACTCAGTTAGAGCGTCTGCCTGTGGCCCGGGAGCCGTGAGTTCGAATCCGGCCCGGGACCAAGGGGTTTTTATCTGTTTCTACTGTCTCCTCTTGGTTTCTTACAGTGGTTCCCACACCGGCCCTGGGAGTTCTGGCAAAGAGTGCCGCCCCAGGGATGTCGAATTCGGAAGATTCGAGGACGAATCTTGAAAAGAAACACGATGGTCAAATTTGGGCCCAAATATTCCAACCTTTTCATCGAACAGAATCATGTTCGATATGACGTCATTCGAATCGAATCATGTTCGATATGACGTCAATCGAACCGAACGTTTGTTCGATCCGGGGTTACCCGCGGTCATGTACAGTAAACCCGCGGCTTCAAGCCCGTTTTTACACGGTACCGCCTAACAGTAAAAAAATCCACCTTTTCACAAATATAAACCAATTTCGGTACCGTATATCTATGCCCTGTTTTATAGTGGATATGTAACATGTAACGAAGCTACTGCCGTTATCGTGTGTGATCTTGAAGATCGTAATTGTTGTTTACGGGGATATAAGTTACCCCCTGTACTTACTCACACGACCTGACATGCGTGCAAACATGGTATTTAAACCGCAAGAAAAACAAATTCAATTTACCTCAAAAACGTTTTAAATTGTAGGTAAGACAAAAATCTCGATCTGTGTCGGACGGATTTTTTAAAGATGGCGGCGTTCTGGAATTATCCGTCTTGAAAGTTGAAAAAGTGCCTTTTTGGGCGAATTTTTCTATCTTACCAACACTTTAACTTTGAAATGAAGAAAACTGTCCGACTCAAATCTTAATTTTGTTATACTGTTCTCTAAAATGCAAAAATATGGAATTTTCGGAGAGATTTGGGGTCGGTTTAAATCAGTTGTTTGGTTATTGACGTCGATTGTTCTAGAATAAGCATTCGACGCGTCGAGAGTGATTTCACGCACATTTAAGCATTGTAATAAAAACACCAACATTTGAGCTATATGCAGTGCGGATTTTATCACATTTGAACAAGAGAGTCCCCGTGAAACTGTTTATAACTGATGAAAATAATGTTTACCGTTGAGACTGGCACCACGGAACCCGCGCGTGGAACCCCGGTAACCTGATACCCCTCCGTAGAATTGGAAACTTTACCCTAGAAATTGACCGCCGTGAAAAGGGGGAGTAGTGTAACAGTTGGGGGTTTATAGGCGCTACCAACTGACCCAGCCAATGGGTCTAGACCTTTTAGCTCACTCAGTTAGAGCGTCTGCCTGTGGCCCGGGAGCCGTGAGTTCGAATCCGGCCCGGGACCAAGGGGTTTTTATCTGTTTCTACTGTCTCCTCCTGGTTTCTTACAGTAGGTTAGGGTTCATAAGGATCAGCCACAGTTTTGGATGGTCTCTGCATATCCAAGAACTTAGATTTGCCCGAAGCACAGTCCAGGATACACAATGTACTAACACCCAGAACCATGCTTGGCACCATTCTGGATAAAGTCAGTTCTGGATATCATAATTAAAAGTATTACTGTAACAACAGTACATACCATGATAAGTTCAATGGTTCAGACATCCTTGACTTGTACCTTCAACTGCATCTAGTAGTTTAACTTTAAGTCATTGAGAATTCCATGCTTTCCTGAAAATCATTAAGGTTTAAGAAATTGTAAATTAGTTGTGATGATAAAGTGGCTACATCTACTAATATTGCAGCAAATGACTTCTAAAATTGTAGTCTTGAAAATTGATAATTAACCATTACTAACTGAGAAAGGGTTGATTGAAAAGCAAGGATAGATAGATAGATAATAAAGACATACAATGTTGTATGCAGGAATTCCAACATTGTATCATTTTATTATGAATCTATGGTAGATTTACCAGTATGTTGCATGTAACCGCATGCCTGTGTCCCACAGAGTAACACAGAGGAAACATCAGTCAAGATTGAAGAAGAGACACAAGTATGAAGACAATAATGATTGACATGTCTCAACTTCCCCATGAAGGATGAACCTGACTGAGCACTGGGGCATGATGCATTGTGGACACTAGCGTTGCCTTGTTGCTACCCAGAAGACTATATGAGGGACATAGTTACAGCCAATGGTTCATATTGTTTGACTGCACTACTTGGACTGTGACTGAATGTGGGGGTTATTAGAAAATCGAGCACTTTCAAAACCTGAGTGTTGTACTTGCTACACAGTTGTTGGCAGGTATACAGGTCTTTGATATACTGATTGTTTTGGAAAGTTGCACTGAAAAAAAACGTTTGTTGCATTTTGTACTCTTATCAACCTGCTATTAAATAATGGGAATGTTTTAACCAAATATGTATAACATACGCCAGCATCCCTTATATGGTAATGGTTTTTAAAAATTTAGCTTATAGTTAGTGGTGGAGGTTTTCATATGATGGGAATGGGTGATAGACATACTTTCTGTATAACTCACAGTATTTAGCGAATGTAGATATGAACTAATTTGATTAGTTAAGGCATTTGGCATGAGTCTCTGTGCACTTACGTAGTTTAATGTGCCTAAAACATGCACCACTGAGAATGCACTGCCTTCTGGAAAAGTGCACTGAAACATATCTACATTTTTTCTTTGAATGTATATAATATATGCTTACTATTCATGGGTTGAATGTTTAGTACACAGGACATTTATAGATAGAATGTGTTTGTGGTATCTCTGGTTCCATGCAAGCTAATAATTTAATATCTATTTATTATATCTATTGATCTTCGGTACACATGAGTAGTTCCTTTAGCCAAAAAAGGGCTGATGCCCATGATAAACAGAATATTGGTGAATAATTGGAAATTGAATACAGAACTTAGTGAATGTCTAACTAAAATTTTGAAAGCCATGAACGAGAAAAGAGCAGGACTCTTTGCTGCTTATAATTACTATATTAGGTATATCCATATGTGTATTCTTGTGGAAGAATTTGAATTATGTAATCAATTGGTAAAGGGACACTTTTAAGTGCTGGTATTTGCAAGCTTCTTAACGATTTTGACCAGCTCAATTTGGGGAAATGTTTAGTGGCAGAGGCATGAAGAAAAGTTTGGAAAATTTTCATTGTGATGATACATTGTATATTGTGCACTATTGTATCTTCTATTCATGTAAATGATACATCAATGTGTGACTTGTATATATTTGGAAATGACTGTTTTGTTGCAGGAATATAGTTTTAGGACTTTTGGTTGACAGCTAGGTCTACATGTAGTTCACATATCAAAAGACAATTATTATGTTAACTTTCTTCGGTATCAGTGCACACAAGACCATTTGCCTGACAACTAATAATATATGATACAAGGCAAAATATCTTGTAAACCGATCATGTCAAGGGAAATGAAGATGATAAGAACAAACCTAACTTAAAATGAAAAAAAATTAGGATATGTTCAAGAACTAATTGTTTGATGACATGATTTTAGAATGACTGAATGGTTATGTTTTTCAATTGTGAACTTGACAAACATGTCTCAACAATACGAAAATCATACAACTTTTAGTTCAAACGATTTTTTAGATGTTCCTGATCTTAAGTTCAATGATGTGAAACCAGTTACTATTTTTTTTCAAAACAATGACTTCTTTCATTTGTCTTACAGCCTGTTATGGACCCAGAACTTGGAGACTTCCACCTCATCTCTTTTGTTTAGACAGTTTGGAAGAGCCGTGTTTGTCGTGATAGGGAGACCTGATGATGAACTTTAAGCCACAAAGTAAAGAAAGAAGCGCACAATCTGGTGTTTAGGAGGCTCTGGTTCAAGTGTATCTTAAAGAAAGTGTAACTTACAGAAAAAAAGATGTAACTCGTGAACATTTCCCTTAAATCCCGGACTACTTTTCAAGTTTGCAAAAGGTTTACCTCATTATCAGTGCTATAGCAGTTTTATACCACCGAAACTAATGTGTCACTTTGTGCAATAAATACAACTGTGGCTTAAATTTGAACCTAACAGTTTGCTCCAAAAACTATCCCTTTCCTCTCTGATTATACGACGGTTGCCATTTAATTTCTGTCTTCCACATGTTTAGTATTTTAGACTAAATGTCTCTTTATGTTGTAGGAAGTATTGTAGCTGGATTTTTATATTCTCTCTTGAAGCACAGTAACTGTTACAGTTACGGTAGATGTTTATTAACAGGTTGTTCCTTCAAACATGTTAACTTTTAAAATTGATACATTTGTTTTGTTACTTTTTGTTGTATAATAATTATTATTCATTGTCTCTGGAGCTAAGGAACAAAGGCTTCTACAAGTATTTTATTGTAGCTTGCACTACATCACAGTAAGCATTGTTAATTATGCACTTAACTACAATCCTCATCAAAGCTCATATGGATGATTCCTATGCTTTTTTGCAAACACGGAGAGAAAATTTTCAGATATTTTTACATACATGCATTCACGCATATCCAACATGTTAAAAATACAATATCCTCGTGGTGCAGTACTTGATGTAATAGAAGAAAATAGATACTCCGTAAACCCAAGAGTCTGTAACATGCTATGGGTATTTGAACTCTTTATTTGTGGCTATTGCTATTCACAAAAAGTTATCATTGCGTGTATCAAATTTCATTGTGAGCTTTAAGGACCTTGATAACGTATAGGAAAGGGTGATTTTTGAAATTTTTGTTCAAGGAGGGATAATCGCATCTGTTGACTTGTCAATCCCTGCTTTTTCTTGACCAAGTCTGCCATACACTTAATGCTGTAAACCTGGAAATAAATCCATCCACGTGTTGTTACTTGAAAACAAACTTGTATGCGTACAAGAATCATCGTAGTTGCACTAATGTTTTTGGTATACTTCCATAAAATCCTAATATTGTCAGGATGTGTATGTATTCTGCATGTCGGTTTCAATATATTTTCTTCTGCAAATAAAATATTATATGATTGTGTTTTCGTCTTCTTTAATGCTTAAGATGTGCTAAACATATTTTTTTAATACGAAAAGGGACAGAAACGGGCAGCTAGAAACTTGATCTATTTCATTGGAGATAAAAGGTGCTCGTGTCAGTTGAGAACGTTGTGATAGCAGAAGACATCAATACTGTCGATAGATTAAATCAAATTGTGAAACCAATTTCGCATTATAAGGTTAAGCTGCAGTACCATACCAAGCCACCAGATGGCGCAAAATCTAATCATCTTGAGCTCTTATCAACGCAACACCTACCAAATACCAAGGTAATCCATCTAAGCCTTCTCAAGTTACGCTGTTGACACACAGCCACACACACACAGAGAGCCACGAAAACATAATCTTCCTGGCGAAGGTAATAATAAAGGCATGGTGGGTTGTGACCGTAGGCTCTGCAAATCTATGAATAAATCTATCAAAGGTCTATTTTCCTCTGAGTTATCTACGGTATTTAGGTCATCCGAACACTGGGTTATTTAAAGCCAACAAACAACAGGGGAGTCAACAGGGGGCGTTTTCACACAGTAAACATAAGAACGACCAGACTTTGGCCAACTTAGTCTATGAGCCGCAGCTGAAGCTGCAAACGTTGTCAGTCTCAGTCTGGAAGTTGCGTTCGCGGGAACTCTAGATCTGCCTACACGAACAGGAGCATGAGGCAGTTGCTGTACATTTGTCTTGTCTCGGCTGTAGTTAGCTTGGCAAGTGCACAGGCACCGAGGGACGGCACTACACAGTTAAACCTGTTGGCCGCCTTATTCAGGTCAGAGGGACTTCTTCAGCAGAAACTTGCGGACACCATCCAAGATATAAGCACTGTGAACGGGACAAGTAACGTTACCTCTTTTCCCGCCCAACCTATCGGCAACATCAGTCAACAGTGTCGGAAAGATGTTACACAGTACCAAACTGACCTGGCGCAAGAGAAGACCTACGCCATGCATAGTAAGTACATGTACATTACACCACAAAAAAGTGGACAGTGGGATCTGCCTGGGCTAGGGAGACAACTTCAAAGTAAACAGACAAAATCTACTTCAACAATAGTTAGAGAAACTGTCATCGCCTTTGATTTGAACGCCTTTGATTCATGGCACTTAAAACCATCTGACCTGTAATAGCTATTGGGAAGTCCGGAGTAGACGCACAACGTTGACTTAACAGACTCCTCCTTCTGTCCATAATGTACCACTTCTACACTGGCGATCATGCCCTGTCCGCGTGATCTCTCACACTATCGGGGGTGTAACCTTCACCTTTAAGAAATGTGTAATGATGTAACCAGATTAAAGTATGTGAAAGGGAGCATTTGAAAGAAATGTGAAGCTTGAAGTGGGGCTCCTGAACAGACATCCTGGACGCTAAACTATGCTATTTTGTCATCTTGAACGACTGTAACTAGTTTGCAGTCTTGCTCTATTCCCTAGTTATCTATTAATCTTTGGCTCTGCAGTCTGGGACAATTAGCGCCCCTCATTTCTGTCAATCAAAAATCGTTCCGCTGCAGTTTTCAGAGTATTGAACATTTCTTAATTGTCGACAAAACGCATTTTCAATTGTTAAATTCTTAAACAAAATATTTCATTATTTCAACCCTTTTTAATTGAATCCGCATAAATTTGTTGGTGTATGCACCTGTTAGTGCCACCTGTTGCACCCCCGATGCGAACCCCATGAACAAATTTATACTGACACGATGTATGGTAGGGGTGACCGCGTTCCTGGACACGCCCCGCATCCAGCGATCAAAGTACGGGCAGAAGAAACACAACAACTGGTCCCACTTGATACAAAATGCCGTTTGTTAACAAACACATTCATCGGATAAGGAGTTGTCATTTACACAACAAATAATCTCACTATAGATGAGATTATTGGTTGTGTAAGTGAAAACTCCTGTATCCTATACTTTATACCAAACTGATGAAACTATTTTCGGAAACACATTTATCTCTTCGACATTTCTGTGTCAGAGACTGCTGGCCGTTATACCGGTCTCAGAGAAAAAATAGATACATCTGTGGCCAATTGCTTTTAATTGTTGCAATCTGATGTGTATTCCATGTGGAGCAATATTTCAACATCATATCGACGTTGCGCAAATTATTGTGTGCACAATTAACAACTTCTGAACAGAATGGTCATTACACTACTCTCTCCCTCTCTCCCTCTCTCCCTCT